TGGTTTGGCTTCAGCATTTGCTTGGTGAACTTGGATTTACTCAAACAGAACCCATGAGATTATGGTGTGATAATCAAGCGGCTATCCATATAGCAAATAATCCTGTTTTTCATGAAAGAACAAAACACATCGAAGTTGATTGTCACTTTACTCGAGAAAAGGTAGAAGATGGTACAATTTGCACTTCACACATCAAAACAGGAAACCAACTGGCAGATGTGTTCACCAAGGCTCTACCGGGGACACGTATCAATTTCATCTGTACCAAGCTGGGCATGATTAATATCTATGCTCCAGCTTGAGGGGGAGTGTTAGAATATACATATTTAATAGTCAATATATTCTATGTATATATATGGTAGCTAATATATTCTCTGCGATAGACTAAATATTCTAGGTAAATCTGACAGATTTAGTTTCCTTTTTGTATTCCCTAGCTTGTATGTATTTATACTGGCCATACCTAATGATAATGAAGTGTGATTTCATTGCATCTTTAATTCTTATTACTCAGTTTACACAATGGTTTTTGGAAACCCATGCAATTTGACAATCTCTTTAGTAAATAAATCAGCTACTTCCTTTGCAGTAAAAGGGTGGGATAGAGCCAAAAAATGAGCTGATTTTGTCAGCCTATCCACTACCACCATTATAGTGTCCTTCCCCTGTGATGTAGGCAGACCTCCTATAAAGTCCATACTGATGTCAGTCCAAATATTTTGAGGAATAGGTAGTGGCTGAATCAGTCCAGCTGGTTTTAAGGCTTGATATTTGTTTGTCTGACATGTAGGACATTCCTCCACAAACTTCTTTATGTCCTTCCTCATGCCCTGCCAATAAAACAAATTAGAAACCCTCTTCATTGTCCTGAAATACCCAGAATGCCCTCCTACTGCTGAACTGTGATATTCATTCAATATTTTGGTCACTCTAGGGGATGCACTAGGTAACACTAGTTTCCCTTTGTAGTAGAGTAACCCTTTCTTGTTCTGGAAATCTGGGTATTGATCTGGTTTTGAAACCAGATTCTGAAGCAATGTCAAACATTTAGGATCCTTCAGCAATTCCTCTTCTAACCCCTCCCATTCTTGACAAGTAACAATGGATAGGGAATGTAGGAATGGTCTTCTGGATAATGCATCTGCAACTCTGTTTTCAACTCCTGGTTTGTACTTGATAATGAAATTAAATCCCATTAGTTTGGAGGTCCATTTTTGTTGCTCTTCCCCCATTAGTCTTTGCTCAGTCAAAAATCTCAAACTTTTCTGATCTGTGTGGATTTCAAACATTCTTCCCAAAAGGTATGGCCTCCATTTTTGGACAGCTAATACTATAGCCATCAACTCCCTCTCATACACTGATCTATGCTGATTTCTCTGGGATAACTCCTTGCTCATATAGGCAATGGGCCTACCTTCCTGCATCAGTACAGCTCCCAGACCAGTCCCAGATGCATCAGTCTCTACTATAAACATTTTATCAAAATCTGGCGTTGCCAGTACTGGCAGGGTAGTCATAGTCCTCTTTAACTCCTCAAAAGCCTTGGTAGCCTCTGGTCCCCACTGAAAACTATCTTTCTTCAACAATTGTGTTAGAGGTAATGCAATCTTGCTATATCCCTGCACAAACCTTCTGTAATAACCTGTCAGTCCCAGAAATCCCCTCAACCCCTTCAAGTCCTTGGGTTCAGGCCACATTGTCATTGCCTCAATCTTTGTGGGATCTGCAGCTACCCCCCCACCAGATATAATATGGCCCAAGTAAATTAATTTAGACTGTCCAAACGAACATTTCTTTGCATTAATCACCAGCTGATTATCTTGTAAAGCCCCCAGAACCTTCCTTAAATGCTCTTGATGTCCCTCCACTGATCTGCTGTAAACTAGGATATCATCAAAGAAAACCAATGCAAACTTCCTCAGACATGGCCTCAGAACTTGATTCATAAGGGCTTGAAAAGTTGATGGTGCATTTGTTAAACCAAAGGGCATTACCAAATACTCATAATGCCCCTCGTGAGTCCTGAATGCAGTTTTCTGCCTATCCTCCTCCTTCATTCTTATCTGGTGGTATCCAGATTTCAGATCCAGCTTAGAAAAAATGGTTGCCCCACCCAATTCATCCAAAAGTTCTTCAATGATGGGTATAGGATACTTATCAGGTATAGTAATTCTGTTGAGAGCCCTGTAGTCACCACAGAATCTCCACCCCCCATCTTTCTTCTTTGCCAGTAGAATAGGACTACTGTAAGGGCTATTGCTGTGTTGAATTATACCCTCACTCAACATTTCTTTTATAATCCTTTCAATTTCTGTCTTCTGGTACTGTGGGTACCTATAAGGTCTGATATTCGGAATGCAAGCTCCCTTCTGAATGTGAATAGCATGATCACAACTTCTTCTTGGTGGCAATTGCTTCCTGGGTTGGACCACTTCTGGAAATTCAGCCAATATTTGCTTCCAAGTGTCATCTTCTGCCCCCCCTTCAACTGTAACTACAGATTTTCCTTCACAAAACACCAAGTATCCATCCCCTGCATCTTGTAATATTTGAGTCATGGTTGTTAGTGAGACTTCCAAAGAATTTAACTGTGGATCCCCTTGTACCAACTGCTCCTGTCCTTGTTCCTTCCATCTTATAGTCTGCTTTTGGAAATTGACTTCTGCATCCCCCAAACTTGCCAACCACTCCATCCCCAGCACTACAATCTTGGAAATTGAGTTCCAAGATGTAAAAATCTTGTTGTATCACTGCTTTCTGTAAACACAGAGCTAACCCTTCACATCTGCCATTGTTAGCTATTCTATCTCCATTCCCAATCTGCACTTTATATCCTGTAATGATTTGATAGGGTATTTTCAATTGATGTACCAACCCTTGTGAGATGAAGTTGTGAGTGGCTCCACTATCAATCAAGACATCCACTTCCTGTTCTCCTAGCTTCCATTTTAGGTAACCTTTCACTTTAAAAGCTCTCATGGAAGGAATGCCTTCCTTGCTCATCAATGACAGTTGCATGGATTTGGATTCCATTACAACCTCTTCTTCATCTGAACTGCTTCCATTTTCTTCCTCACATTCTGCTTCCTCCTTAGAATCTTCTACCAAAATGAGTTTGTAATTTTTCAATTTGCAGGTGTGTTCCCTACTCCATTTGTCCCCACACTTGAAACATAGGCCTTTTTTACTCCTTTCCTGATACTCCTCCTGGGACAACTGAGGGCCCACCTTTTTTATTCCTGAAGGATGAATCTCTGTCACTCTGGCCCCCTTAGTATTGAACCAGGGCTGAGAATTCCTACTACCTGATCCATTCTTCTCACTATTGTAAGTGCCAGCACTGCCAGATTTGTACTTGTACCCTTCTCCCCAGTTCTGAACCTTCAATGGTATGGGTCCTCTCTCCTTTCCCATGAATTTGTCATCCTCCTTTCTTTTAGAATAGATTGCCTCATTCTTCTGTTCAATCATTATGGCTCTATCCATGGTTTCAGTTAAGGATTTGGAAGCATACAGTTTCAATTCAGATTTCACTTCCTTCTTCAAACCTGTGATGAAAATCCCCTTCAGCAAATCTGTATCCATGTTCTGTTGTGGTGCCATCACCATTTCAAATTCCTCCCTATACTCCAGCACGGTTCCAGTTTGTTTCAGGCTCAGAATAGGTCCGTAAGGGTTCTGAATTAACTCCGATTGAAATCTACGAATAATAGATTTCTTCAATGCCTCCCAGCTCGTTTCTTCAGTCTGATTCTCCCACAAGTGGAACCAATTCAAGGCTCTATCCTCCATAGCGACCATAGATGCCTCAACTTTCTCATCATCGTCAATATTGTTCAATCGAAAATACCTTTCCATTCTAATAATCCAGTTATAGGCTCCTTCCCCGTTAAACAATGGTAAATCTATCCTTCTTCCATTACGTACAGGTATTCTCGAGTACACATCACTACGACGATGATCGTTGATATTAGAGTGAACCGAGTTACCTCTGGAATGTACGGGACTGAGCGGCGATCGCGATCTCCCTCTGACTCCCACTGTGGTCGCCAGTTTTTCATTCATCGCGGCCATAGATGCGTTGATACTTTCCATCGCAGATCGCAACTCCATCTGTAACTCCGTACGTACTTCCAGAAGGTTGCGCTCCAGTGAATCTACTCGATGCTCCATTTTAGCTCTTGTTCTGACCATCCACACCAGGAACGACTATTTTCTGATGTTGCGACACAACTTCCGATCCACACTGAGGTCACCAGGAGCGTATTGCTCTGATACCAATGATAGACACTGGCGATCAATTCAGAACAATAGAATACACCCAATCAAAGTAGAACAGTGCACAGATTTTGTTTATTGAATACGGAAGAAATCCACAGAAGTATACAAGCTTAGGGACCATTCGAGATGCCCAATCTCCAACTACTAGCCAACAGAATTCTCAGCTCCCTTACTCCACTCTTCTACCTTCTATTTATAGTCACCTCTCACTTAAGGCATACCCGCCTAACTTACCCCTTATAAGAATCCCAACTGATTACTTATTCCTCCTTTTGTACACCTTATCAAAATATTTAATAGGCTGGGACGCCTGCCTATCAGAACTTGATTGAACTTAAAAGGAAAGATTACAGGTAAGGCAATTTCGATAGTGCCTCTCTCTCCTAGATCCAACTGAATTCCAAAAAACCCCTTTTCATTCATCACTCAGCTCATACTAATACTATGTATGCCTAGCCTGAGGTTGCCACCTCATCAATTTATTTACATTCCCCTTACTTCTTCTATTGTACCTTCATACTACTCTTTAATATTATTAATAGTATTATTAGTGCCCTTCATGGGTCATTTGGGAATAGTCTCTATGTGCTTTAGTACATGGGTAAGGCTGCATACATCCGACCCCCCTTACCTACCGTAGGTGGGAGCCTTTGCGGCACTGGGGTATTGTTGTTGTTTTATTATTACTGCCTTGTTCCCTAACACTGTTTCACTTTCAGGCCTTGGAACCTGTGGTACATGGCCGAGGAAGGAAAATTGATTCACTGGACGAAATTTATATGGGTGTACATGAGAACTTATTGTATGCTCGTAAAACTAGGCCTTTGGAAGGTCAACTTTTCTATCTCATGAATCGTTAAATGTTGTACCTTGTAGCAGTGCAAATCTGCAATTATTTATTATCATTTTAAATTATTATTTTTCTTTCATATTTTTGTATCTAATGCAGGAGCCCAATGGACAGGCATAGTGACAACAATTGCAATGGAGATGCTGAAATTCGGTATGGTGGAAGCTGTCATTTGTGTCCAAAGGTAATCTTTTTGCTACTCCACCCACCCCAACCCCATGGGGTGTACTATATTTCTTCCATAGTTAATGGTTGAATGTGATAAGTGTTTGTTATTTCGTCCCAGTGACCCAGAAGATAGGCTTGCTCCTCGACCCGTCTTAGCAAGGTGACAGATCTGGGACACTTTCAGTATTCAGTGAATGTATCTTATGTATATATATAATATCTATGTATGTATGCTATGTATATATATACGTGTGTGAGTGAATATAAACTTTAAATATATATTAATTGATCTTATAAATTATAATTGTTGGTGATTAATGCCTCAAATAGGACACCAGAGGAAGTACTAGCAGCTAAAGGAGTCAAGCCAACACTCTCTCCCAATTTGAACACTCTTGCTTTAGTTGAGGTGCCTCCTGTTAATATACTATCCATCCATTTTCTCTTGCAACTAGGCAGATTAGCCTCATGAAGCATGTTCTCCCTGATTCCTTAGTTAAATTTCATTCTTGAATTTTTTGCACAATTTATCAGTATTTTGTTATTATTTTTCCATATCAGAATGATTATTTAATTTTTTTCCTCTTATACTCCGTAACAAGTAAAATTTTAATATGATGCATACTATTGTCTTCTTGGTTCACAGGCAGCTGGTGTGAAGAGGCTTCTGTTTTGTGGTGTTGGTTGCCAAGTGCAAGGTTTGATTGTAATTATGATTTGTATTTTCTTTTATGGATATTTTTCTTTCTCTTAAAAATACTTAATTTATCTTGATTCAGATCAATATCCTGACTTGCAGCTTTAAGAAAAGTTGAGAAATATCTAGGTCTGGAAAAGCTTTATGTTTTAGGAACAAACTGTGGTAAGTACTTAATTTGGAATTAAGCATACTCCAGGAGTTCATCCCAAACTTGCCATCATGTCTAAACTGCTGTCAAATATCTGAACAAAATGAATGAGATCAACATTGGTGAATCAAGTATCTTACTCCTCCCGTTCCTGAATAGTTTCGCTTTATCAATTGTTTTGGTTTCTAAGAAGCTGTCGTCTAAACTTTCAGGATAACATTTATTACATTTCTTTCCCAATGTTACTCTTCTATACTCAATTACTATGGTGCTATTTCCTACATTCGTATACAGTACTCTCAAAACCTATTTGAGGAAGCATGTATAATTACATTAAATACAGGAAACTTAATCTTCCACACTTTTTTATTACTATATTTTAGAGCTTTCTTAATGTGTATGTAACACCCAAAAATTATAGTGTCACAATTTCACAGAGGACTGCAATGTAGTAAAACATTGTAAAGAGCATTTTGTGTGCCTTCGTACTTTGTAGTGCAGACCTGTGACACCCATTGTGGCATTTGATTGATAATGAGCATTTCTTTTGAAGTTCAGTCCATTACAATCAAATACATTTCCCATTGTTAAGTTTCGATTCTGATTGAGCACAAGGAAATTTTTGTTCATCTCCATATGATATTTGGTCCTAATCTATGTGTATTTCTGTCTTCATGATATAGTAGGGGTATGTTTGGATCACTGGAAATCTTAAGGAAATGAAATGCTAAAATGTATTAGTTTTGTGTGTTTGGTTTTACCTTGGGAAATGCTAATGAAATTGGTAATGTGAAATGTCTTCTATTTCTACTTCTTTCATATGTTTATATTTCTGTCTTTATATATAATATGATAATTTGATAAAATGAGTTTGAACCAATGTCCAAAACAAAATTTATTGAGTTTGAGTTTATCCCCCCCCCCCCCCCCCCCCCCCCCCCGTATGTTTTTTTGTTGTTCCTGCTGTCCTTTCTAATTTCTTTCCTAATATTTTTGGATTGCATATAAACACTAAAACGTTCAAGAATAAAATCAAGCAACATTTTCTTAACAGTGGATAATGGAACACGAGAAGGGTTAGACAAGTTCTTAAATGCTGCTAGTGATGAACCTGATACTGTTCTACATTATGAGTTTATGCAAGACTACAAGGTAGGCACAATATATATTTAAGTCATTAAGTGCCAAGCATTGATGAAAATTACGAGTACTACTTAGTTTTAGCACTTCATGTTATGTGACTCTTGGTTTCAATATAAAGAGCATTGGTGACATTGTGAACTCTGAATGCAATATTTTGACAGGTCCACCTGAAACATTTGGATGGGCGCATTGAAGAGGTATATACTTCTGGTATATGTATATGGTTTATGGTCACTATGGTGCTGTTTAATTCAACTCAATATTTTACTAAAAACAGGTTCCCTATTTCTGTTTACCAGCAAATGAGTTGGTTGATGTCATTGCACCATCGTGTTACAGGTAAATAAATTCCTCTTGATTTTATCCAATTTATTTATTACTCCCTCCGTTCCTAAATAAACTTCCAACTTTCCTTTTTCGTCCGTTCCAATTAAAACTTCCACTTTCCCTTTTTAGTAAAGAATTTGTGGTTCACAACATTTCTTACACATTTCTCTCTCCTCTGCACAACTCTCCACCACACAATACCCACTATCTTAAACTCTGTGCCAAACCTATTTGGAAGTTTTAATAGGAACGGAGGTAGTATTTATTTTAGAATTACATGGTCCATACCTTCTAACTTGTGAAAATTGGTGAGATGTCAGCGAGAAAATTGGGGTGTTTTACATTTTATTCATTTTGAATCTACCTAAACTGAACTGCATAGTGAACTAACTATTATTGTTTTCTCTGCATTGTAGCTGCTTTGACTACACAAATGCATTAGCTGTGAGTCTCCTCTACTTTAAGGATTAGCTCCTTTTGCATATCTCTGATATGAAATAAAGATTGCAACTTGCCTTTTTATTCCCAAAAAACACAATCATCATCTTTGTTAACCTTTCCAGGATTTGGTGGTCGGTTATATGGGTGTGCCAAAGTATGCTGGAGTTAGCATGACACAACACCCACAGTATATTACTGTCAGGTAAAACCATAAAACTGTAAAAGGATCGCAGTTATATAATATACTCCCTCCTCCCCTAAAGTTACTGTTTTTCTTTTTGGTCTGTCCTCAATTAAACTCCTCTTTCTTTATTTGGTAAAAGCAAAAGTCTTATTTTACTGCCCTCTTGAGATATACCCAACCCCACAGCACAAGGATAATCTTGGAAGTCAATCATAAAACATTTGATTCATAACAAAATGTTCAAGTCAAAGTAGGAACTTCTTTAAGGGATAGCTGGAGTATTTGTTACTCCGTATAACTTTTTTACTTTCTATTGTCTAAGTGTACTTAGAAGGTATATATACTGCAAACTTATCACATCCAAATACAGAAATGAACGTGGAAGAGAAATGCTTAGACTCGTGGAGCATCTTTTGGAAGTCACTCCTACAATTAGCAGTGTAATACTACATGATGTTTCATCTCGTAAAGTTTGCCTAAACTGATTTTGTAGTAATAAAACTTGTTAATGCCAGGGTGACAGGAGGCCATTTGTAATGGAAACTGTGAAGGCAGATGACAACGCTAAGTTGGGTATGTTTTCTTCCTTTAGTAATACGGAGTGGTACCACCGTACCACTCATGTATGGAAGTTGAATAGTCTTTCTCAAAGCACCTCTCTGGAACGTTGATCCAAACTCTATATAACACATTCAAAAACTTATTTTGCTGTAAAAATAAAGATATGTTTTTACGTGTTTGGCAAATATTTTCTTTTTCTGTGGGGCAAATATTATACCAGGTATGTTAGTATGTTTTCATGTTTTGGATTTTGGGTATATAACTATTGTGAATCTGTATTTTGTTTTCAGCAAGATTATGTACAGGTTGGTATGATACTAAGATAGTAAGATCAATTTCTTTTTTTTATAAATTCTCCAGGAAGAGGTCCTTCTAAGCCTGCCCCAAAGTTTATTGGCAACTTAATAGCATTTATTTTAAACCTGGTGAGGACTTTATTTTTCAATTTAATGCAGCAGATGGTTATGCCTGCAACTTATAAGTTCAGTTCTAACAGTTTCGTTTTGTTTCAGGTTGGTCCAAAGGGTCTGGAATTCGCCCGGTATTCATCGGATTACCACACCATACGGAATTATCTGCACGTAATGCGCACATGGGGAAGCGAAAGGTATAAAAAAGTTAAAGGTATCCCAGAGCAGGAGGGGTTGATTATAGGGGTTGATTATATTGTTATGATGATTCTTTTTTTTGCATGGGATTTTGATGAATGCAGAGCTGGGATGCACATGCCTTCATATGCAAAGAAGATTGTTGCCATGTATAACCAAAATGGGGAAATTGACCAAATGCTTGTGAAGTGATCAAGTACACCTACCTGACCTAAGTGAGAAGGGCGGGCTCATCCGCTGGAGTCATCGCTTCCCTAGCGCGGGATATGCCTTTTTGTATGTACACTTTGAAGTGACAATTTTGATAAATACAATCACTGAAATAGATAATTGTTGTACGCTGACATAGTCACTGTGAGGAGATTGCTTGTTGTTATATACTACTTTTATTACATTTACTGTAATACTAAAAGCCGTCCAGCCACCATAGCCACCACCTTCATTTACCACAATGAGCACCACCCAATGCCACCAGGAAATCAAAACACACCTCAAAGCACATGAGTGATAGTGACTCTAGTACATGATTTCACCCTTCGTATTCTGGCGCGTTAGTGACCACAGTATCACACTGATGTTAAATTCTCCATCAAATGTGGTATATACGATGGGAAGCTTACTCTATGTTTATCTTTACTCGGAAAAAAATTCCCACCGCAAAACCTTCTGCCGGTGATCCCCATATTATTAATCTTGTTGCTACTTCTTCATTTATGAGTGCTTGACTTGACTTGCTCACATTTTGTTCAAGAATGTCATATTTAAGTACTTGGTAACCCTAAAAATAACATTACTGCTATTCCAAAAAACAGGGGAATTCAATAGTTTTTTTTACCTTTGTTCTACCAGCCATATAAAGTAGCCTTTAGTTGAGAGGTGTGGACGTGTGGTGTTATGATTTCAATTTTTGCAAGCGGTGAGATGAATGACCGATAAAAATAAAAGGCCGGGAAGAGCACACCGATAGAATATATTATTGTTACATATTATCTCCGCATAATACTTGTATTTATCTCTACAGTTTTACATATATTTTATCACTTATCTTGTAATTCATTCTTATCATTTGTAACAAACTGAGCTACACATGCTCTATATTTATTATAAATACATACGGCTAGAGATCAACAAGGTCCAAGCCTTCTTTGCCATAATATCCTTCATGGTATCACAGCCATCAATCTTCTAAGATTGAACTGATCCAATTTTTTTTTTTCCACGCACTTCTTCTTCACCATGCCATCCTCCTCTAGCAGTTTTATCCCTACGAATACAACTCCCCAACTCATCTCACTTAATGCATCTTCCCAAATTCCAATTAAGTTATCAAAGGATGGGTGTAATTACTCTTCCTGGAAGTCTCAAATAACCAATCTTCTTTTTGGTTATGATCTCTTGGGCTACGTTGATGGCACTAACCCATGCCCAAAATCCGACGATGACACCTATATTTTTTGGTCTCGCCAAGATCGTCTCGTGCTTCTAGCAATCCAATCTACCGTAACAGTCAATATATGCCCAATCATCAATTCATGTGCTACTTCGGCTGCTGCCTGGCAAAAGCTGGAATCCAGTTTTGCTAATACCTCTACCACATGTATGCTATCTCTCCTCTCAACCCTCATGAACACCAAGAAAAATGGTAAAACTGTAACAGAGTACATGAACACATTGAAGACTCTTATTGATGATCTCGTCACTATCGGTCACCCTCCTAGTGACGGTCAAATTGCGTCTTATGTCCTTGGCGGCCTTGGTGGTGAATTCAACGATCTTGTTGGAGCTTTGCGTATCCAGGCCAAACCTCCTTCCTTTGAAGATCTTCGCCATTATCTACAAGATGCAGAACTTCTCTCTGGAGAGTCCACTGCCACCTTTGACGTTCCTGTTACCGCCCAATATTCTCAACGCCGAAACAATTTTCGTGGCCGTGGCGGCCATGGTGGCGGCTGTGGCACCACATCGGCTATTAACCACCATCAAGGGTTTGGTCATCACAGCTCTCCTGACTCTTTTCCCGGCTCTTCCAATCGCTCTCCTACTGCCAAGTCATTCATTCAGTGTCAAATATGTGACAAATTTGGTCACATTGCCAAAAATTGCTACTCCTACAAAGGTTACCCACCGAGAGCTCACAACGTCACTAGCAATGATCCAGGAACAAACACCAGTTGGATTCTTGACACCGGAGCCACTCATCACATCACCTCCGATCTAAGCAATTTGAGTGTTCACTCCGACTACAATGGCTCCGACTCTGTTGCTATGGGTAATGGTAAGGAAATACCAATCACACACATTGGATCGTCGGTGCTTAATTCATCCGATTCCACTTTTAAACTCACTAATGTTTTGTGTGCACCTAAAATTCGTCGCAATCTTATTTCTGTCAATCAATTTTGTACTCAAAATAATACTTCTATTGAGTTCTCACCCACTTCCTTTATTGTGAAGGATCTAACCACGGGGGCATTCTTGGCCCGCGGCCGGAGTGATAAAAATCTTTATAACTGGTCTACTCTCACGCCTCACGCATATATTGCCTCGTCTCCTGATCTGTGGCATCAACGACTGGGTCACCCATCCACTTTCACCCAACGTCAAATAACTGGAGTTTCTCCCTCTAAAGTTGCTTGTGATTCTTGTCTTAGAGCCAAATGTCACAAATTACCATTTACTGATTCCTCAATAAATTGTACTAGTCCATTTCAATTTATTTATTACGATGTATGGGGTCCGGCTCCAATTCTTGGATTTAATAAATCTCGATTTTATGTTATTTTCGTTGATTATTATTCCAAGTATTCGTGGTTTTTTCCTATTAAACATAAGTCTGATGTTTCCTCAGTGTTCAATAAATTTCGGGCCTTAATTGAAAATTATTTTGGCACCAAAATTAAAACTATTTACACAGATGGTGGTGGGGAGTTCTCAGCTTTATCCCCCACTTTAGCCCAACATGGCATACAACATCTCATTTCCCCTCCCTACACACCACAACATGTGGGCTCTGCTGAAAGAAAACACCGTCATGTTATTGAAACCGCCTTAACATTACTCTTTCATGCATCCATACCGCTATGTTATTGGCCCTATGCATTTCAATATGCCACTTATCTCATAAACTGCCTTCCCACACCACTCTTAAAAAATCAAACTCCATTTTTTACACTCTTTGGTGATTTACCTAAATATGAGTCCCTTAGAGTGTTTGGTTGCCTATGTTATCCATGACTCCGTCTATACACTACTCATAAATTACAACCCCGCTCTACACCGTGTATTTATCTCGGTTTTTCTACTACCCATTAGGGGTGGGCTAAAAAACCGTAACCGATTAACCGCGGTAAATAACCGAAAAACCGGTGTTTGTTTTGGTTAACCATACCGTGTTTTTTAAATCTTGCGGGACGGTTAACCAACCGGTAGAAAAAACGTTTTACTATACGGTTACGGTTTTGAAATTAAATACAGCCGATTAACCGCTAATCCAAAGTTAATATATTGCTCCCAAATTCATACATACATTTTGCTTATTTATCCAATGTGAGTTCATAAAACTCCCTGTATTATATTCAATATTAACTCCTTGTCCATATTTATTTACAAATTTACGGAGTATATATATGGTATTGCATCTTAGATTTAATACTTAATTTTATTTTCGGATTTTATATTTAAAATTTCATTTTAGATTCAAAGAATATGGTATTGAATCTTACAAGAAATTTTCTCAACTTTTTGAAACGTATGTTTCAAATCTAACTTTTTTAGTTATACACTATGAGACAGTACGAGTACATATTGAATCACAGTTGAAGCATATTACGTACTCCGTATAAATTCTTCGTAATACGTACTCCGTATGTAGTATTATATATTGTAGTAAACTTCCAGTTGGTAAAAAAGTTATTCTGAAAACCACAATACTGCATATACGTAATTTACTACGTCTGTAACGTAATTTAGTATAGGGCGTTATTCATACGGCAATATTAAAACGAACCTAGTTAGTAGTTTATTCATATACTTTGTATATACGGTTTTTTGGTTAACCGATTAACGGTTAACCTATGAGATGGTTAATTGTTACCCGGTTAACCGTCATTATGGTACGATTACTGATATCATAAACATATTAACCGATATTTCGGTTAACCATAAATTGGTTAACCGAAATACGGTTAACCAATCATGCCCACTCCTACTACCCATCACGCCCATCTTTGTCTTGATCACAATACAAAAAAAATATACATATCTCGACATGTTGTATTTTTTGAATCCCAATTTCCATACCGTACACCAAATTCCGTCTGTATCCCACCATCCTCGGTCATACACTCATTTAACAAAAAATCCCCAACTAAATCTACCCTTCCGCAACCGCCCAACAATAATCCTCCTTCACCCTTATCTCTTCCCGACCTTATTCCTCTCAACCCACGTGTCTCTCCACCTTTATCTTCCATTATCCAACAACCACAAATAATTCCCAAAGTCCCACTCATCCAAATCATTCTACTCCACCTCAACCTCCAGTAACAATCTCAAACCACTCTCAAACCCCACCCACGTGTCCTCCAAGTCCACCTCACCACTCTTCCTCCCATAATCAAAGTTCCTCCCCATGCAACCCATGCAAAACCACGACCATCTCTCACCCAACTCCTCCCGTCACTAGATCCAAAAATCACATCTTTAAACCTAATCCCAAATACGCTCTCCACACCCAAATTTCCTCTGGTTTACCCATTGCTCCCACTTCCTACAAACAAGCTAACGACGAGTTTCAAGCCCTTCAAAAGAACAAAACTTGGTCTCTAGTTCCTTCCCATCCTACACAAAATATTATTGGGTGTAAATGGGTATATCGGGTGAAACAAAATCCGGACGGTTCGGTGGCTCGATACAAAGCTCGTTTAGTAGCTAAGGGTTTTCACCAACGCCCGGGGGTTGACTTCACAAATACTTTTAGTCCGGTGGTCAAACCGGCTACCGTTCGTGTTGTTCTTACTTTGGCTGTTTTACACAATTGGCCCATCCGTCAATTGGATGTCAATAATGCTTTGTGGAAAATTTATCTGATAGGGTATATATGCAACAACCCCAAGGTTTTGTTGATTCCTCCTCTCCGGATCACGTAAGTCTTCTTCACAAAGCTCTTTATGGTCTCCGGCAGGCTCCTCGTGCTTGGTATTGTGAGCTACGTACGTATCTGCTTCAATCTGGATTTCAGAACAGTAAAAGTGACACCTCACTCTTTACTTTTCACTCACATGGTTACTTCCTCATACTCCTGGTTTATGTAGATGACATAATAATCACAGCCAATCATTCATCCGTGTTACAATCTTTCATCTCCAAGTTTGTCACGCCCCGGACCTAGCCGGACACGTCAACAACCCGCCGTACAGTACGAATAGTCAACCGCAGTCCAACTCATCCATACTATACAAGGCGTCATGAACATCATTCACACATAGTACATCCATAAACAAACATAATGTAAATCATTCATTTAAAACAGCGGAAACAACATTACAAGTGTTCAAGCCACACTTGGCAAACATGGGTATACAAACCCCCGAAATGTATGTTCAGAAAATAATATCCATGCGCATTATTCATATTGTTTTCAAAACAAGAACGGAAGAAGCACGAACCAAGTCTTCTTCTCCGAAACTCCCCGAAACAGCGGCTGGTAGTAGCAACCTTCAAGTTCTACCTGAAACTGTGAGGTGGCCTCCCCCGTGAAGGGGAGGTCAGTACTTGGAAGCATTTGACAAGTACAATGACAACTATACTAAGTATAATCGAAGTTTAAAATCTCTGAGGCCCTCAATCTAGAGCATTGTTACATTTTAGTTAATCCGTTCATTTAGTATCAATTCATCATTATTTACCACGGTCTAGAGCCCAGCTCATAATCACCGTTATCTACTACGGTCTAGAGCCCCGCTCATAATCACCGTCATCTACTACGGTCTAGAGCCCAACTCATAATCACCGTCATCTACTACGGTCTAGAGCCCAGCTCATAATCACCGTCATCTACTACGGTCTAGGGCCCAGCCCATAATCACCGTCATCTACTACGGTCTAGGGCCTAACCCATAATCACCGTTATCTACATCGGTCTTGAGCCCGGCTCATAATCACCGATTCTTTATAATTCAAATTCTTAGGATCTAATTCATCCATTTCTCAACTAACATTTCCAACTAATATTTCAATACTAGTTATTTACTTATTTCAATATAATTCTTTCTTCATGCATGATTGTCCTTAATATCAAGTATCACCTTTATACCTTCATGGCTTCTCTTCATGGTATCAAAGTATACTATCTCAAATGAAATTCATGGTTGGTACAATCATCATACACTCATATTCATAACATCTAAACATACACAATCTATTCATAAATTTGTATATCATGCATACTCTACTTCTAACCAATAGTAGTTTTATTTAGGCATTATTTACCATTAACAACTCATGCACATCACATTTGTATTCACTTAGGAAATCCCATGAAATTAACCCAAAGATTATAAGTAACATAGTCGGTCATCCTCACCTTAATTAAGCTTAAGCGCGTTCTACGCTTCTCGATTGAACTTTGACTAGTTTCGGCGAACTTTGACCAACTCCGACGAACTTTGACCAACTCCGGCGAACTTTGACCAACTCCGACGAAACTCCGGAGAAGCTCAAAAATACTTTAAATCAAGTTCCTAACAAGGTTTTATCATCACAAAACCCATATCAACAAAAATAACCTATAAAAGGTTATTTTCCGGCAAACCGATCGATTTGGCTTCTAAGTCCATTTTGGACTTAGAATCACCTTCCAACCCCTCGTTCTACACTTCCAAACATGTAGAACAAATCTAGGGGTCCTACATATCCTATATCAGTCATATGGTAGTTAGGAAAATAAATAAAAGGTTGTTATAAGGTCATTACCTTAATCACCACCCTCCTTCCTTCCCTTTCTCTTCCTTAAACTTTCTTCTTGGACTCCCTTGGGCTTGAGTTCAGATTTGGAGCTATGGAGATGAAGTTTGCAGAGCTCCTCTCTCCTTCTTTGTGTATTTGGTCGAAATAATGAGTGTAAGGAGGTAGGGGTGGTTCCTTCTTGTCTTACTTGACAATAATGAGAGGAAAGGAGGTCCACTCCTCATTTGATGTCAATCTCCTCCACATCCCCCATCCTCCTTCATGTGGTGCGGACAGTTCATGTCCTTTTTTATACTCAAAAACGTGGGTTGGCTCCCACTTATGTTGGAGGTCAACCCTTTGTGTCCCGGAGTGTACAATCGGTCCCGAAAGTTGTATTTTCCGGACTGTTTTAATTATGTTTTATTTTTATCGGGTCAAATAAATTACAACACTTGTTCCCAATCCTTATTGGACCTTAGAATCAATATGATTCCCCAACTTTAATTTAGAAATCTCCGGAATCCCCTTTTGGGCCGTTATCCGATAAATTGCCGATACCGATAATTTGGCCCCGTTTGACCAACCGGTCAACCCTGTGCCATTGCTATGGACCAATTTGGATATCCACCACCATATACATATTTTCTAGGCCCAGATGAATCTAATATGTGGTCCCGATAATATCGGGCGGTCCCCACTCCCGATGCGGGCCCCACGTGCATTTTACTATTCACGCGAAAAAATTAATACGAATTCACAACCTCGTAAATTCACTAAAAATTTCATAGGGTTTAATAAATTATTCGCTTAAATATAAATACATTTGGGGACGGTGTTACAAAGTTGGCTTCTCGTTTCTCATTAAAAGATCTTGGAAATCTCTCATATTTTCTTGGTTTAGAAGCAGTACGCACTTCGAGTGGACTTCATCTCACCCAAACAAAATATATACGTGATCTTCTCTCACGCACACGGATGCAAAATGCTAGTAGTACTCCCACACCGTTATCTCCCGGTGATAATCTTACCCTACATGACGGTGCTCCACCCCATGACCCTACGGAATATCGTAGCGTTATTGGTGCTCTTCAGTACCTACCTATCATTTACACGCCCAGATATCAGTTTTGTGGTTAACAAGTTAGCTCAATATATGCATCGGCCCTCCTCACAACATTGGCAGGCTACAAAAAGAGTTCTTCATTACCTTAAAGGTACCTCTCACTTTGGTACTTTCATTGCTACGTCCACTCCCCTCTCACTCCATGCTTTTGCGGATGCGGATTGGGCTGGTGATGCTGACACTCGTCATTCTACTTCTGCATATGTTATTTTTCTTGGCCGCAACCCTATTAGCTAGAGCTCAAAAAAACAAACTACAGTTGCTCGTTCCTCTACCGAAGCAGAATATCGCGCTATCGCATCCGCCAGTGCAGAAGTTACATGGATTCGCAATCTTCTTCACGAGCTCCACATTTTTTTCCGCCAACCACCTATCATTTATTGTGATAATCTAAGTGCTACATATGTATGTGCTAATCCAGTTTTTCACTCACGCATGAAGCATGTTGCTATAGATTTCCATTTTGTTCGTGAACAAATCGCTAACGACTCTCTTCGAGTCGCTCATGTTCATACTCTGGACCAACTTGCTGATTCTCTTACCAAACCGCTTGCTCGTCAATTGTTCCTATCTCACAGATCCAAGCTCGGTGTTCTTCCCAGACCACTCTCCCTTGCGGGGGCATGATAGAATATATTATTGTTACATATTATCTCCGCATAATACTTGTATTTATCTCTACAGTTTTACATATATTTTATCACTTATCTTGTAATTCATTCTTATCATTTGTAACAAACTGAGCTACACATGCTCTATATTTATTATAAATACATACGGCTAGAGATCAACAAGGTCCAAGCCTTCTTTGCCATAATATCCTTCACACACGTCATCTTCAACCTTGTGACGCAGGAACACATCAACTACAGATCGCCTACTTGTCTTCAACCTTGCGATAGAGGCACAAATCAGAAAAGTAACGACTAGCGATGCTCCGCCTTTAGGAATCGTTGATTGAGCTTCAAGGTTGAGAGTCGACGATTGTTCTTTTGGGTTGGCTTCAAATCTCCCCTAGCGTGACACCAATAGGGATGGATAGGACCCGGGCTGCCCGACCCGTGAACCGCCCCGGGCCGCTACTGTGCGGGCCCGGCCCGGTCTAGGGTAACCTGTAGCACCGTCCCCAAGCATATTTACTTTTAGTAAATTTTGTAATAAACCTCGAAAGATGATTTATGAATTTACGTAATTGTTAAATTTTATTATTTCTTTTACGTGAATAATAAATTGCATGTGGGGCCCACAGCGGGAACGGGGACCGCCCGATAATTCCCGAACCACATATTATATTCATCTTGGTCTAGATGACATCTATATGGTGGTGGATATTTTATTTGGGCCATAAGAAAGGCATGGAGTTGACCGGTTGGTCAAACGGGGCCCAATTACCGGTATTGGTAACTTAGCGGATAACAGCCCGAAATGAGTTTCGGAGACTCCTAAATTAATGTTGGGGAATGTATATCTATTCTAAAGGCCCATTATTATTGGGAACACGTGATATATTTTTTCCGGCCCGATAAAATAAAATATGACTAAAACAGTCCGAAAAATACAACTTTCGGGGCCGATTATACACATCGGGGCATAAGGGGATGACCTCCCACATGAGTGGGGGCCACCCCACGATTTTATGTATCACAAATGGTCAGAAGGCAGCTGGGAGGGGCGTACATGGTGGGTAGGAAGTCTCCAAGAGACAAATCCCACACCCCATGTTTCCTATCCCACCTTTGATAGGAGGTGATTGAGGACACTCCCCCACCCTCCCTCTTGCATAATTTCGAACCACCTAAGAGGAAGGAGCTCCAGAAAACTCTCTCAGCTAATCCATAGGGTGGAGGAAGCAACAACAAGGGAAATCAAAGGAAAGAGGAGTTGTTCTTGAGGTAAGAACTCAACAAACAATCTTGTAACTAGTTTTTTGTGTATGATTTTTGAGAAATCATATGGTGGATTAAACCATGAGTTCTACACGTTTAAAAGTGTAGAATATTGTTATAAAGTGGTGTTAATTAACTTAGAAGAGTTGGTGAATCGATAGGAGTCGAAATCGCCGGAAACCGCCACATATAGGGAGCTGTTCGTAATTGCAGACTACGAAAGCCGCCCGGCTTTCGTGAAAGCCGCTCGGCTTTCGTGAAAGCCGCCCGGCTTTCGTGAAAGCCGCCCGGCTTTGGCCCAGAAATCCAGCTTTTCTCTTTCAAACGGCTTAGAACGGGGGTTTATCGAGGGGCTTATCAAAGGCAACTATTGTAGCACATCACGAGGTGAGGATGGCTGACTATATTGCTTATAATTAGTGAGTTAATTTCATAAGATTGCCTAAAGTAATTAGATGGGATTTTCATGGATTTTTAATGATTAATAATGCCTAAATGAAAATGATATTGATACGAGTAAGTGAAGCATGATATACAAATTTAGAATAATTGTGTATGATTATGTGAAATAAATGGAACGGCATATTAATGGAATTACTATGATGACATTGTGATAAAATATACTTTACGCCATGTATGAAATTCATGAATGGAGTAAAGTGATATTTTTGATATTGAGATCAAACTATACTTGTGTTGGGAAATCAATTGAAATGAAAAGTCAATTGGAAAAATAGGAACTTGGCATGTTCTAAGATTATCCAATTAATATCAAAATACTAGTCGGGGATTAATATAAATAAATGATGAAACAAATCCTAAGAGGTAGGATTGTGAATAGATATGCCTTAAGTAGTCTCAAGAGATACCTTAAGGTTGAATTGTGTGAACACTAAGGTGTGATAGGGGTAGGCCTAAAGGCTACCTACGGAAATTGATTCTAGGCATAGGAATTGCTTGAGGATTTAATTATGAAAATAATTAGAGTTGGACTCTAGGATGACATGGAAATGTAGTTGGGCCGAGCCCATGCCATGTAATATGATTAGCATGGAAACGTAGTTGGGCCGAGCCCTTGCCACGTATATGTGATCTCCGTGGAAACGTAGTTGGGCCGAGCCCTTGCCACGAAGTTATGATTGGTATGGAAACGTAGTTGGGCCGAGCCCTTGCCATACAAATTTGGATATGCTATATTGAGTTAGAGGATTGTATAGAAATGTAGTTGGGCCGAGCCCATGCTATACAATTGGGGCTCGATGGGACCCCACGGGGTTATCGTGACTTACGGTCACGGGGGAATGGAAACGATGAATTCTAAATGAGTATAGGCCCACGGCCGACTACTTGACTCTATACAAAGTAAGTACAGTTAAAAGAAAAAGGGGTAACCGAGGGTTATGGCCTATAACATAATAGTACCCTAAGTTGAGGGTCTTAGAAATTAAAACATCAATTATACTTAGTATAGTTGCTATTGTACTTGTCAAATATTTCCAAGTACTGACCTCCCTTCACGGGGGAGGCCACCTCACAGTTTCAGGTAGAAATTGAAGTTTGCTTCCACCTCCCGTTGCTTCGGGAAGATCCAAGGAAGAAGACGTGGTTCGTGCTTCTCCCGTTTCTGTTTTGAAAACAATTTAAATAATGCGCATGGATATTGTTTTTATAATTATTTGGGGGCTTGTACGCCCATGATTGCCAAGGTGTGGCACAAACACTTATGTTAAATGATTCCGTTGCTATAAATGTTTATTTTACATTATGTTTGTTTATGGATGTACTATTTGTGAATGGTATTCAAGACGCCTTGTATAGTATGGATGAGTCGGACTGCGGTTGACTATTCGTACTGTACGGCGGGTTGTTGACGTGTCCGGGTAGGTCCGGGGCGTGACAATTTAATTGTGATGGATAGTCTACCCGGGGGTATATATCCGAGGGGTTATTGCTGAGAATAACTTAGAGAGAAGTCAGAGCCAGTAAATGTAGAGAGAGAGTGTGTGTTATAAATGTGGAGCGTTTTCAGCGTGGTTACAAATGGGGAAATGGGGTGCTATTTATAGTAGCAATAAATGCCGGACAGGGACACGTGTCAAGCGCCCATTGGCCGAGAGGTCACTTCAACTGGTTGGCGTTGGCAGCCGCATGTGGCCGCATTTAATGCGGCTGTTGGATGGGACGTCTTGTACAGGGTACGGTGATCTGTACGCATGTGAGGCGGATATCATGTCGGGAGAGGTGCCCTCGGCTACAGAGGACTAGCCGAGGGCTCTTAGTGCCGAGGACCCCTGAGTGCCGAGGGCTCCAGGTGCCGAGGGCTACTGTTTTCTGCCGTTTTCCCCCCAGTTTCGTAGTTTGCTCGAGAAACCCGTTCTGTGAGAGTTTCAGCCTTCGGCCAGGGGGCCGAAGGCACCCCTGGTGCGTATTGCGGGCTGCTTGGTACTCTGGGCGCTGTGATTTGGGCCGGTTGGGCCTTCTGGGCCTGTTGGGCCTTTACTGGAGTAGTAGGAGTCTATGGGCCGGGGGTTCCCGGGCCATATACTCCATCAGGAGTCCCTCACTCCTTTTGCCGAAAGGTACTTGAGGAAAAAGGAGTAAACTGTGTCTGCCATTTGATGTTGCTCCGTTTGTAGTTTGGTGAGGAGTTCGTTGTTTGCGTGTCCCTGCCGAAGGCAGTCCCTCAGTTACCCACATGTCGGGACTTGAGGGCTTGCTTTGCCGTTTTGTTGGAAATTTTCACCAATTTTGTAATTTAATGATTTTCCCGCCGAGGGGGTCCTCCAGTCCCCCACTCCTTGAGGCACTTGTAAAGTGGTGAAAAGGAGTAGAGTGGTTGCGTTGCTGTTTGTGGGCCGAAGGCTGACGCTTTTCGTTTCATTTTGGGGGGATGCCTCGTTAAAAACCTCATTAGGAAAAACCCTGGGGGAAAAAATCCTAATGAGGGAAAAAGAGTGCACCGAATTCCCCCAACGATGAATCGAAAATGTGAAACCTTGGTCAAAATGGAGAATAACGGGAATGCCGAAGGCTCTTCTTTTTCTGAGGGCTCATGTGTTGATTAGCCAAAGGCTTGCTGTTGATGTCCTGGGGGTGCCGAAGGGGAGCCCCTCAATCTGGGGATCGAGGGCCTGATGGATGAGGGCAGCAACGAAGTTGTTACCGGGGGGTCCACTGTTTGCTGATTTGTTGGTGATGAAGGTACCCGAGGGATCCCATTACCCGTGTGCCGTAGGCTATCCGTCAATGAGGCAACTCCCCGGGGGCTACCTGGTTCTTACAGTGCTGAGGGGGAATCCCCGAGGGGTACCCTGATATGAAGCCCTGGGTTTCTGAAGGAGTGATCCCGAAGGCGTCTGTTATGTGCTGTGTGGGGCACAACCCGGGGGCATCTCTGGGTAAGTGTACCCGGAGGCTCTCCTTGATGAAGTGGAGTGAAGTAGAAAACCCGGGGGCTTCCAGAATATAGCCGTTGGAAATATAGCCGTTGGAATATGTAACGTCAGGTTTATAGCCGTTGGGGGAGGAGGACACGTGGCGCGGGACGGTTGGCTGCCCGTGGGCGGCGTCACCGGTTGGGTGAAAACACGGCGCGTAATGATGACGGCCCGTCCGGAGGCCCGGTTTCCGGGCCTAAGCCCGGATTCCAGCGCCTATAAATACCCCGGAGCCAGAGCCATTTCTTCTTGTGCGATCATCTGTCTTAGCGAAGCTCTGCCGGAATTTTTCTAGAGAGAGAAAATCACCCTCGGTCACAACAACTTTCAGAGGTCAGTTCTCCTTCCGCCCTCAGCTCCATTTGAGTATTTAGCTGTGCCTTGTGCCCTTAGGTTAGGAGATAGATTTCTCTAGAAAACCTTAGTTCCCCCGAACCCTCGAGCTAGAGTTAGAATGTCGTCCCAGAGTGATTCTCAAGACATCTCGGGGGCGCCCTCGATGGAGGATGAAAGCATCTCCGACGTGGAGTCCAGTAGCAGCCAGCCCTCGGATGGTGGTGATGCAGCTCTCGCCACCGAGGTGCAGAAGGATCTGGTGGCCGAGGCCGAGGCGGAGGAGTTCGAGCGGACCGCCGAAGATGAGGAGTTGGCCCTCGCCGTCCAAGTTGCTGAGGAGGAAGAGGAAAAGGAGAGGGCGAAGGTTACTGTGGCCGTCCTCCCCCCCCCCCCCCCCCCCCCCCCCCCCGGGTGCTGGTGAGGCCAGTACCTCTCAGCCGCTGAATGCAATTCCCATCCGGGTGGCCCCCGGGAAGAAGAAGGCCAAGGCAGCTGCCCCCAAGAAGAAGATTGTCACTGCTGATCAGGGGAAACCCGTAGATATTCCGGAGGGGTATTCCTGGCTCAATACTGCTGCCTTGGAGATAAAGTCGAAGGCGGACAGGGCGGACCTCTACGTCACGCAGCTACACGTAGGGCCCTCGGCCGTGGTGGTCGAGCCGGGAGTTGACGAAGTGCTATCTCGGGCGCCCGAGGGGTGTATTGCAGTACACGTACTGTCGGTCTCCATGGGCCTTCGGTTCCCTCTGCACCCCTTCCTCCGGGAGTACCTGAGGTTTGTTGGCTTGGTACCCTGCCAGCTGACACCTAATAGCCACTCCTACGTGGCGGGTTTTTTGAACCTCTGTAGGGACCGAGGGGTGACCCCCAGCCTGGACTTGTTCTTCCAGAGCTTCAACCTCTGTCGAGGGGGTCACGCGAATGCCGAGGGCTTCGCCAACCTGCAGCAGGTAGCCAGGTGGAAGCTTTTTACGGAGGCGCCTTCGTCCAATAAGGGCTGGAAGGAGCGCTGGTGCTACGTCAGAGTTGCTGAGAACCCATTTCCGGCGGAACTTCGGGATAGCTTCCGTCGGCATCCGAAGGTTGGAAGCGCCGCTCTCGAGAAAGATGGCCTGGTGATAGCCAAAATCCCGGAGGGTCGCACGAAGCATGTCTCTATCAAAGACTACACTGCCGATAAGGGACTCTACGCCCTCGGCTTTCGGAGATACCGCTTCATTGGGGAAGTGGACGAGAAGTATCCCATTTTTGGTGAGGCCTTCGGGGGAGCAAGAGGTAGTCTACGAGGGCCCTTGATTTTCATATCTTAGCACATAGTTTATCTGTTCGTTTTTTTTATTCCTTGTGCCTTCGGTTAGTAACCCCTCGATTTTAACCCCATACTATTTTTGCAGGTATCCCAGTGAAAATGATGAACGTCAAAGGCCTTGCGGACCTGAAGAAGAAAAAACCTTCCAAGGGCCCGAGGGGGACGGACGCTGGTGTCCCGAAACCTGCCGGTGACTTTTTCAAGAAGCCGGAGGGGCCATCGGCGGGCCCAAGTGCTGACGCGACTGCTGCCGCCAAAAGGAAGGGCACAGACAGAGATCCCGAGGGCAAAAAGCCCAAGACCGGGGATGCCGGGAAGAAAGTCCCCCCGGTGATCATTGTTGATGAATGCCCCGCCTCCGGGGTGCATGAGGAGATGCCGGTGGCGAAAGTGCCGTCGGGTGTTCAGGGGCCATCTTCCGAGGTCCTCATGGTTTCCCTCCCGGCTGGTACGGGCGTGATGAACGGCACGGCTGACCCGAGGGCGCTTCTGAGAGGCATAACCCTCGAGATTGACAGAGTAGCCCTCGGGGCTGATGAAGATGAAGCCCTCGAGGACAGGATCCTCCGGTCTTCCCTCACGGTAAGTCTTCGATGGTTATATCTTTCTTCTTTACTTTGAGCTAAGCAACCATGTTCGGCCCTGCTAACTCCTTTGTTTTTGTAGACCTGCATTGCCCTCGGGGAGCAGGCCCGGCGGCTAGAGGAGTGGCGCCTTCGCAAGGCTGAGCAGGATGCTAAGATGCGGGAGCTCATCCGCCAGAAGGCTGATGCTGTCCGGCAGATGGCTATGCTGGAGGAGAGACTTCGGCTGATGACCCTGCGGGCGGAGGCCGCAGATCGGGGCAGGGCGGAGGCTGAGAGGTCCGCAACTGAGGCTTTGGAGAGAGCTGCCAGGGAGAGCGAGGCCGCGAAGATGGAAGCCGTTGAGAGAGCCCGAGGGGACGCAATCTCGGGGTTCTTGGCAGGCGGGTGGCGGGCCGAGGAGCACAAGCAATGGCTGTCCTCGGTCGTCGAGTCCTCGGTTGACGAGTGGTGCGATGGGCCTGGTGTGGAGTGGGTTTCCCGAAAGGGTAAACAATACTATGATGGGGGCGAGTTTTTCACCCAAGCCCTCATCTACCGGAGGATGGCTCGCCACTTGAAGATTGAGCCAAAGGACTTCGACCCGGCGGCATACGGGCTCCCCCCCTGCAGCCAGACGTCCGCGTTCCTCTCCCCTCCGATGTCGAGAGACCGGACCTAGAGGATACAGAGTTCATGAAGGAAGCCGAGGGTGACGAACCTGAGGCCGATGCAGAGGTTACCTCGAAGCCATCGGAGGAGGCGGCCCCCGGAAGTGACGTTGTTTAATTTGTAATTTATACTCAGTAATTTGAACACACTTGTAATGATCACATTCTCATGTTTTCAGCCCCGGCCATCTTTGTAACTATCACATTTACTCTTTCTTTTTGCCGATTGATGAATGTCTGTCTTCGGGCTTCGTATATATGGCTTGTTTTCTCTAATTCCTTTCTTCTTGAATGTATGCCTCCGTTTTTCTTGAGTGTATGCCTTCGGTATTTTTGAATGTATGTCTAGGACTTAGAATATTTTCTAAGTGTTTGAATACGGTTGTAGCCTTCGGCAGTTGGGCACCCTTTGCTGGATATACAACCGAGGGCTCAGCAGTAATTAGGACTTAGAAAATTTTCCTAAGTGTAGCACACCATAGGGCCTTCGGATGTTTGTAGTTCCATTGCTGTGTGGTGATTAGGTTGAGAACCCAATTCCTAGGACTTAGAAAAATTTCTAGGTGTAGTTTGGCCTTCGGATGCCCTCGGCTGGTAGCCTCCTTCCCGATGCGTGAATATTGGACCGAGGGCCCAATGTACAGGACTTAGAAATTTTTTGCAAGTGTAGTATGTCATGTAGCCTTCGGCTACTGTGGAGCCCCAACTGGAATGTTGATTAGGTCGGGGGCCAATTCTTTAGGACTTAGAAAATTTTCCTCAGTGTTGATTCCTTGTGTACTGTAGCCTTTGATTGATAGGTAGCCTTCGGCTATTGGGTCCCTTTATAAGTTGAGGGTGAAATATGTAGGGCTCAGAAAGATTTCCAAGTGTAGCTTTTCCCTTGGGAGCCTTCGGGAAATGGCATCCCTTCTTGATGTATGAGTAGTTGACCGGGGGGAAAATATGTAGGACTTAGAAAATTATTCTAAGTGTTGTTGTATCGCATAGCCTTCGGCTATCATATTCCCTTGGCTGTAATATTGATTGGGCCGGGGGCCCAATCTTTAGGACTTAGAATTTTTTCCAAGTGCTGCTTCCTTGTGTCGCCTCCGGGTGATAGGTGCCCTCTGACTCTGCATCACTTTGCGAGATGCCCGGGGGCTACTCATTTAGGACTTAGAATATTTTTTGGGCGTAAAGTGATGTTGAGCTTCCGGATGTAGAGCCCTCCGGGTATATGAATAGGACCCTTCGGGTGATCGTGGGGCCCTTGAGTTGTATGAGTATTTGATCGAGGGCCAAATATGTGGAACTTAGCAAAATTTCACAGTGTGTCGTAGATGTTGGACCTTCGGTCAGTGAGGAGTCTGTCCGAGGGGCAAATATCTCGGAATAGTCCCCCTCGGTTGGCTTTTGATGATTTGTAATAGATGCCTTCGGTTGTCTGGTGACATATTAACCTCCGGTTGCTGTCATTTTCAAAAAATGTGGATTTAGGAAAAGTGTGGAATCCTGTTGTTGTGAAGAAAGCCAATGAGGAGTGTGTGCCCTCGGCATACACTTTGAAAAGTTGTAGAGTCTGACTTAGGCAGTTGTGTCCCTTGTAATGGGGTAGGGGCCCTCGGTATTAGTGCATAACAGATGCCTTCGGTATTTGTTTGAAGTACCGTTTAGTGGGCCTTGGATAGTCTAGTCCCTTTGTATTGTTGAAGCCTTCGGTGTTTGTGTGACCGGAGGTGACCAGGCAGTGGACTTAGCCGTTTCTTGATGCTATTTGTTTGAGTAGTATCCTTCGGGAAATAGGAGCCTTCAATTACCGGAGGTATTCCCGTGGGGAGCCCTCGGCATGTTGTGATCTGTTGGAGTGTACTCTTTGATTTCTCGCTGAGTCTACTCCCCTTCACCCCCCCCCCCCTTTTTTTTTGGTTGGTGGTGAAGGGAAGGCATCAAGAAACTTGGTTTCTTGGTAAGGCTGGGCCTATCAGGAGGCCATCAGAATACACCAATGGCTCTCCTCCCTCGGGTTAACCTTCCGAGTTCCGAGGGGATCGAGGGTCGTTTCCTGGGCATAAGATATGGTGGTCTGTAACCTGCCTCCCCTTGGGGGATGGCGCGGAAAGCGCCTCATTTTTGAAAGTCGTCCCCTCGGCGCTAGACATAGTCCGTGGCCTGCCACACCCTTGGGGTGGTGGCGCCGGGAGCGTTTCGGTTTGGAAGTCGAATCCTGGGCATTTCTCGTGCCTGTCATACCCTTGGGGTGATGACGCGGATAGCGTTCCGTTTTTGAAAGTCGAATCCTGGGCATTTCTCATGCCTGTCATACCCTGGGGGTAGTGACGCGGAAAGCGTTTCAAGGAAGGGTTTTCATTTGCACACTAGTTGCAAATGGCCGGGGGCACTACGTGCCGCCGGCACCGATGGTGGCGCCTTCGGTATATGCGTCCTCGTGGGGTACGACTTTTAGAAACAACACATGGTGTTAGTTTCGATGTGTAGCCCCCGGTACTTGGTACCGAGGGGTCTTCTGTAGGAACACTTGGTGTTCTCTGTTGTTGCAGTTGATGGAGGTGTCTACCCTCGGTACTTGGTACCGAAGGGTCTTCAAATGAAACACTTGGTGTTTTGATTGGAGTGTTTGGTGCCGGAGGGCCCTCGGAGGAAACACTTGGTGTTTCCCAACAGATGTTCGGAAGTTGATAGGAGAGCATATCCCTGGCACTAGGTGCCGAGGGGTCTTCTTTGAAACATTTGGTGTTTTTCTTCGTTTTGATGTTGATGATGGAGGTGCACCCTCGGCACTGGGTACCGAGGGGTCTTGTTCGAAAACACATGGTGTTCTCCTGTTGTTGTAGGTGTTGATGGTGTCCGCCCTCGGCACTTGGTGCCGGAGGGGGTTCTTCTTGTGGTGAGGCCTGGGGCCTGTAGTCAGTATCAGGGCGTGGTGTCTTGAATGTGTCTTCATTCCTCAAAAGTGGAGGCCGTGGGCCATAGGATAGTACATTCATTAGTTATGAGGGCTTGGCCGCTCTTACATTATTGGTAAAATTTAACTAAATGGTGTACATTCCAGTGCCTAGGGACCTCTTTCCCGTTGGGGCATTTGAGCTTGTAAGTCCCAGGTTTGATGATGGCTTCTATGATGTAGGGGCCTTCGAATTTTGGTGCCATTTTTCCTCCCTCGGTTGGTTGGCTGGCTTCCCTCCTCCGGAGGACATAGTCCCCCACTTGGAATTCTCTGGTGCGAACTTTGGCGTCGATGTAGCTTTTGACTTGCCTTCGGTAATTTTCTGCCCGGATGAAGGCCTGCTCCCGGCGTTCTGAAATGAGGTGGAGGTCGAGGGCCATGTTGTTGTCGTTGACCTCGGGGTCATATTGGATCACCCTTCGGGTGGGAAGGGTGACTTCCGTAGGAGCTTTGGCTTCAAAACCGTAGCAGAGGGAGAAGGGTGTTTCACCTGTTGCTCGCCGAGGGGTGGTGCGGTAGGCCCACAGGATGTTGTGGAGTTCTTCCACCCAGCCACCGCCCTCGGCCTCCAGCTTCTTTTTGAGGCCCTCGAGCAAGGTCCGGTTGGCATTCTCTACTTTCCCGTTGCCCTGAGGGTAGGCAACGGAGGAGAAGGTGTGTCTGATGCCCCATGCCTCCAGAAGGGCACAGAAGGGGGCTGCCTCAAATTGTGTCCCATTGTCGGAGATGATCTGCTGGGGGACGCCAAACCTTGTGAGGATGTTCTTGAGGACGAAGTGACGGCACTTTGCCTCTGTGATGCTGGCGAGGGGTTCAGCCTCCACCCACTTGGTAAAGTAGTCGATGGCCACGATGATGTATCTGTTGTTGGAGGTACCCCTCGGCAGAGGGCCCACAAGGTCTATCCCCCATCGAGAAAAGGGGACAGATGTGCTGATGGGGGCATAGTTGACCGCTGGCCTGCCGGGGGCTTTCTGGAAATGTTGACATGCGGTGCACCTCCGGGCAAGGTCAGCACAATCTCTGGCCATGGTTGGCCAGAAGTAGCCCTGGAGAATGAGCCTTCGGGACATCGAGAAGGGTCCCTGGTGAGCTGAGCAAGTGCCACTGTGTACTTCCTCCATTACGACCTCGGCCTCATCTTGATGAAGGCACCGAAGTAGCGTGCCATTGTAAGATCGTTTGTAGAGCCTTCCATCTTCGATGGTGTAGCTAGGAGCCCTCAGCTTTGCCAGTTTAGCGCGGGTCTCATTCTCGGGTAGCTGCCCTGTGGAGATGAAGGCGGTGATATCTGAGATCCAATCCTCTTGGCGTTGTTGTATGTTCATAACGGGGCTTGCATGGATACTTGAGAGGCTGAGTTCCTCAATTTTGGCAATTTTGGAGATGTGCTCGGGGGAGTCGGCCGAGAGCTTAGATAATATGTCGGCCTCGGAGTTCTGAGCCCTTGGTATTTGAGTGAGAGAGTGTGCCTCAAATACCTTAAGCAACTCCTTGGCCGCTTCCTTGTATTGTTTCATTCTTCCCTCCTTGGCCTCATATTCCTCGGAGATTTGGCCAACGACCAACTTGGAGTCGCATTTGATGTGGATCTGTCGAGCCCTCATGTTGGCATCCAGCCGAAGGCCACATAGGAGGGCCTCATATTCGGCCTCGTTGTTGGAGACTTTGAAGGAGAAGCGGATTGCATAGTAGGCTCTGAAGCCCTCGGGAGTAATGAGGACTACCCCTCCTCCGCATGCTTTGGTCGCGGAGGAGCCGTCGGTGTAGAGGGTCCACCAGTCGTCCGAGGTAGCCGAGGGCTCCCCGTCCGTGGCTGCCCTCGCGGTACACTCCGTCACGAAGTCCGCCAGGGCTTGGCCCTTGATGGCAGGCCTTGGACGGATGTCAATGTTGTATTGGCTCAAGAAGATAGCCCATTTCACCATGCGGGAGGAGCTGGTGGGGCTCCTCATGAGGGCGCCGAGGGGTTGATGAGTGAGGACCTGAAT